CTCCTACCCAAAACCTGAGCTTACTTTAAATTTTTACCCTTCTAATTTCGAGACTTTTTCTTTTTCTCTTATTTTAACAGTCTCCACCTCCTGACTCCTGCCTCCTACCCACTGTAACTTTGTACAGATCACTTCCCTTTTGGCCTTGATGGTTTTTGAAGATCCTTTTAACTCTATATTGCTGTGAACTTTTACCTTTCTTATCCCTCTTCTTTTCTGCTTTCTTTCTTGTCCTTGTCTCCTCTTTTTTTTTTTATCTTTTGTTTTTATAGATCTCTCTCCTTTTTTTCCCTTCCTCACTCCTCTCTGCTCCTTTCTCTCATTTAGGGAAGTGTGAACACCCCTGTATGTTGTCTCAGGATTGTCTTCAGCTGCTAATGTAAGAGTATGGGCTCCCTGCTTTCTCAGGGGCTAGAGTTTACTGATTGGAAGTCTTACTTTTTACGAGAGTCAAGTGGCTGGGATCTAAGATATACTGCAGGTGAGAAGCAAGCAGCCTGATGGGTCTTGCAAAGCCTTGGCCTATTTGATGTTGTACCATGAAGAACATGGCCCTTAACAGAAAGGGCTCTTGGGATGAGGCTCTTTACCAGTTTCTGCTTTCTTTGAGTCACCAATTAGTATGTTATGGGAGAAGAGCATTGTCCTTGTCACCCAACTTTTGACTTTCCTTAGAGTTAAGAGCTGGAATCAGCTCTTTGATAATTGTGAGCTCTGATTTTCCCCATCCACAAAATGGTGTTGGCAATTCCTTCATGCCAGGGCATGTCAGTGAATGTGATAATACACGTGAAAACAGCTTTGTGGAAATACAAGTACTAATGCCACATCATGATGTCTTATGACTATCCTTACCACACCCTATCATCCTTTGTTAGTTTCTTCTGTAAAATAAGGCTGAAGTCTTGACCCAGACAAAAGATCAGAATGGCTTAGGCCTTTGGGGGATGATGGGCCTTGGTATTAGAATGATAGCATTCTAGTGTGACATGAGGAAAGGAGCACGACATTTGGAATCAGACAACCAAGATGCAGTCTCAGGTTTATTACCTCATAGCTCTATGGCTTTTGGTAAGACTTTCACTTTTCTGAGCCTTGATTTCGTCATCTGAACAATAGGGATAGTTGAGTTTTTACAAGAATTAAATGAGATCACAAACGTGAGTAAAGTATCTAGCACAGTGCTTGGCACATAGTGGGTACTTGGCAAATGGTAACTTGCTTTATCATCATTATCCTCATCATCATCATCACCACCACCTTATTAGCTCAAAGAAGGTCTATATATCAAGGCTAGCCATACTGGTTGAAAGAGGTCTCCTTCCTTGGAGGGTTGCAGACCCAGGAAGTATTGTTAATGATTGGAATGATTTGGGTGAAGTCACTGGTCAGAAGCAGAGAGGAGGACAAAATGACCTCTTATCCCTTTCTCTTCTGAGTCTTCTAATCAAATATCCAATTCTTTTTAACTCTACATATGTGGCATCTTCTATCAGAGTTTCCAAATGCCATCTGTGTCCCAGCTAAGCATTTCTGGTTGATGAATCAGTCCCAGAGGTAGTTAGAAAGAGCACATCAATAACCACGGGCCTTTGGAACTAGCATGAAACCCTATATGCAGACAACTTGCATGTCTTGGACTGACAGTCTCTCTCTTTAAAAGAAGAATTACACTGCACCCAGTGACAATGTTGTCTAAACCCAAATGTGGTTCACTTTCAGTGAAATGTCAGTTTTATAATAAACAGTAAATCAAGGAATGGGACAAAATGATTGAGCAAGGCAAAATGGTTCAGGAAGGCTAATGGCAGAGCCAGGCTTTAGAATATCAGTGAACTGACATTGATGTTCCTGCATCCAAGGCCAGGAGGAGTTTTCCTCCAAGTACACAGTTGGATGGGCTGATACTGACTTTTGAGAAGACCACTGGCAAGTCCAGGCATGCATGATATATACAGTGT